GGGTTTGACGGGCGCGCAGCGCCGCTCCCCGTGCCCTCGGCCTGCGCCGCCCACCTGACGCAGCTCCCCCGAGGCTCTGCAAGGCCGGGGACGCGTTGTTTTATCCCCGTGCAGTTCCTTCCCCCCTGTGGAGCAGAGATAAGCTGCTCAGGCGTGCTGTGGGTAGATTTGGGAGAGCTTTCGCCTGAGCACCCCTCGCTCCCCCCTTCCCCTCTCAGGATAACCCAGGTTTCTAAGCATGTGGCCCCTTAGATACCCCACAGAGAAACTGGTGCTTGGCTACAGCTTCTGGTCATCACTGCTGTGAGCAAAGCACACCTGTGGCAGCCAAACCAGAAGCAGTGCATCCCAACCCTGGTGTGTGCAAGGTAAATTTCATTCCGAAGTAGCAGAAATTACCTTTTAACCTCTAGTAATAGAAGCCAGCATTTCTTCTCCAGTTTTAACAGTGTTCAGAAATGGGGTGCAGATCCCCAGCTTCTAGAAGTCTCTGCAGTTTTCACTTTTTTTCTGTGATATAAAAGTCAGTTGCCTTTGTAAGGAATCGCCATTTACAACTCCATTTTGCCTAGAGGTTCACCAGGAGCTTCTCTACTTTGTTTACTTGAATAAATGACTGATACAAGAGGAAAGGCTGGATGCCACAAAGCCTCAGCAGTGAGCCAGATCAGATCTCCAAGGCCATTTGCAACATCCTTAAGTGGAACAGTGACTCAGAAGGCAAGTGTTCCTTCCAAAACAATGGAGAAGCTGCACCAAGAGCAGGATGTGGAATCTGGGAGTTCAGGCAGCACTTCACTCACCTGTCTGTCAAGTGAGTCACTCACATTGCAACAGCATCTAAATAACAGCCTGCATCTCCAAGGCGGCCAGCAGCAGACAAAACACTACAAGCAGAGCAGAATTATTCACTTGGCAGCCTCAAATGTTACAAAAGATTCCAGTGTCTCCACTCACACCAGCGTGACGGGGCTCTGCAGTTGAGTTTTGATGGAGAAATAATCCGTACAGAAACCTCCAGGAAACAGGACCCCACAGACCACAGGGAGATGCTTGGGCTGCCCTCGCTGCCCCTTCTGAAGTGTCGTGCCCCGAACGCCGCCGCAGGCAGCCCCACGCCGGGCACTGCTGGTGGGACAGCAGCGAGCACGGAGCGCCAGGGACGGCACAGGGCTGGGACTCCAAACGCACCCACTCCAGCTGCCACCACGGCCACTGCTCAGCACAGCCTCATCCCTGACAGATGGGGCTGCTGCGTCCATAGGCATCTCTGCTGCTGCCCTGGCTTTACTCAGAGAGCAAACACTTCCTTCTCTGGCTCGATCAGGGAACTCAAGCCATCTGACTGGGCTCAGAGAGACCTTGCAGGACACTACACTCAGCTGAGACTCTGATCAAGATCATGTGAAACACTGTGGTGAAAGTAACAAAAATGAGGCAGGACAAAGCTGAATAACAACCTGGTTTGCCCCTCCAGGAAAGTGCTTAGTGAGTGTTTCCACACTAGTGTTGCTGCCTAGGCCCCACAGGGATCCAATTCAAAGAGCTGCCCGTGGGCCTGGAGCAGACAGCTCCGGCGTTTCCCGGCTGGGCGCCCACCGGCTGCTCCGGCCACCGGCATCTCCCAACCGCGCCAGCCAGGCTGGGCTTGTTGCAGTGGATCTGGAGCAGCAAGGTGCCTAACCTCTAATTAACTGAGCCAATTTTGCTGCTCAGCCACAGTATTCTTTCTAAACAATGCTGCTAAGACTGAGCACTTCATGCCACTCAGCAGAGGTTTCATTACCCTCCACTCCACTTGCCGTGGTGTGTGATAAGCCCAGGCAGTGGATGGGAAGGCAGCAAGCCTAGCAGAATGCTGGCAGTTACCAGGAGCTCTTTGCAGTCAATCAGAATTCAGACGTGCAGACTTGAGTGCAGAGACTGTAGAGGATACAGCAAACCACTCTGGGGAGTCCAGAATTCAGGAACACAGGCAGTTCCTACTTCTTCCAGCCAGTAACCTGAACATTCGCTGTTAATGCCTTTTAAGATGCTGTTTTTCAGGAGAGCATAACTGAGACCAGCTGCAGCTGGCTAGCTGGCTGAAGCAGCACTACTGTTTGGAGGTATCAGTAGGTTAATACATAGAAAATAGACCAATAGGCTTAGAGGCACTTCATTTTCTAGATTTCTTTAAGTACCATTATTTAACTGTACCTCAATACGTAACGTTTGTAATGCGTCTTGGAATGCACTGCTCATTGTCAGTGAGGCATTGCAGACACATAGAAAGAATCTTTGGGGCTCTTGGACTCCCCCTTCTTGCTTCTTTAATCACATCCACCCTCATTTGCTACCTGCACTGCAGGCAGCTCACGCCCTCTGCAGCTCCGCTCGAATCGACCTGCCAGAAACTTCTGTCACTAAAGAGAGTGAAGTCGCAGTGAAAAGCGGATACAAGGCACACAGCGAGGCCACGCCGCTCGAGTGTAGTGTGGGGACCCAACAGATTTTGACATAAATATAAAAATAAATACATTTGGGGGAAAGCCGCCCCCCAAACTAACAACTAGCAGCTACATTGACACTGGCAAGTGTCACACAATTTTCAGGACGCTTCTTCCCTCTTAAAGAAATTTTCTACCAGCTTGTCAAATTCCTGTGAGGAATACTGCTTTAGAACACTTAAGGGAGTGAGTAAATACTGCTCTGCAAGTCCAGTTGAGAAGTGCTCACCAGCAAGAGGTGCCTGGATAACAGTGCCAGCTGCTCTTGCTGCTCCTGCCTGCTCTCCACTCAGCTCTTCCTTCCCTTTCTCTTTGCCTGTGTGACAAGTGCAGCCCTCTTCTGAGCAGAAAGACAACGCACAGTACTTCTGCTGAGGAGCATTAACACCCGTGAACTCTTCAGATTTCTCAGTAAATTTCTCTGGATTCTCATAAACAACTCCTCGGGGCACAGAATGCCAGGAAGCTCTTTTCAAGAGGGGTTCCTGCCCTTTCCTTTTGCTTTGCTGCTGTACAGACTCTTGCACAGGCTTTGGGATTTTGAGGCTGGGAAGTGCCTGGGAGGCAGGACTTAGGTATTCCTGAAAGTAAGCCTGGCACGTGCCACCCTTTACAATTGGAATGACTGAGCAAGGTTTCAGCCACTTCACAAACTCGCACAGCTCTGAAAAGGATGAGTGATCCGAGTATGGAATGGGGTGGATGTCAGGGTGGGTGACTTTTACGGGCCTGCCAGTCGGGAGGATGGCAATGGTGGGGTGCAGCATGTTCCAGCTGACGAGGCTGTCCCAGTGGATCTCGGCGACATCCACGGCACTGATTCGGCCGGCCCCCTCCTCGGTGGTGAACACGTCGGGCAGCTCCA